ATTCTGGCGCTCAGTTTCTGTTGCAAACACATCAATGGCTCGTAGATTGCGATCAGTTATTACTTTCAGACATTCAAAAGTCTATTATAAGCGAAAGAATTGCTTTCAATGATAAGCGACTTCTCGACGGCGCCGACGAATACCTTCAGATCCTAGATATCGGCGCTCTTATCATAAGTACTATTGACAGCCAATAATAGTTTGTCTTTTGATTGTGTGATCATTATATGAGTTAACCATTAATTGATTTCTAATTCTTATGTGAACTCATTTCTAGTAAATTTTCATTAAATGTATATTTTTATAACGAATAAAAGTAAAAATAATTACAAAAATAAAATTAAGAATAAAAGATGAAGTTTCCATAGAAACGATGGTATTGTTAACATAACAAACCGAACATTAATTGAACGTATGATCAGTGAAAATGACATTTTTATAACTAAAAGCGGATTTAAGACATGGATATCGAGGACTTAAATTGCATCCAAAGGTCAGTTTAGATAATGGTATTAAATATGTGTGATTTGAATACATTGATTGTATTTTATGACAAAGACGTCTGCGGACGGACTCAATCGATGCTCACCCGACGGAAAAGGCGATTGTAGTGAACTACGAGTTGGAGGCCTCACTCGTCGGCGATTTGGGGGACACGATGTTAGAGGAGAGCAGAGAGTGTCAGAAAATGTAAGATTATTTGGCTATTATTGGCGCAGATGTTATGCATTAATATAATAGTCAACAGAGTTGGAGGCCTCACTCGTCGGCGATTTGGGGGACACGATGTTAGAGGAGAGCAGAGAGTGTCAGAAAATGTAAGATTATTTGGCTATTATTGGCGCAGATGTTATGCATTAATATAATAGTCAACTCATTGTGAAGAGAATAGCGTTAAGCATAGAGAATAACGTTATGCGGGGATAGAGTAGTGATTCATGAGATGCTGTGCAGAGCGAGAGAGCAGTCCATAGAGATGTACGGATATAGTAAATAGAGTGGGAGAGAGAGGCTGAGCTCAGCTCACAAATCATGTCAAACACTTTGTTTTCTTATTTTTGTGCACAATATTCAGTAGACTTTATAAAATTAATGGTTTAAATATTATAGTGTTTTGGCATTAAATTACATGCATTTTTACTATTCTTAGAATATGAATATTCAGTGCTTTTGTTTTGCAATTAATCACAAATAATGCAATAATTAATTGTTTTATTGTAAATGATTTGAAATAAGCTCTTTGTGCAGCGATTGAAGAGATAAGTGAATGTAAATAATTCTAACAAGTCAAGAATAATAGGGAAAAGTATTTATAAATAACTTTTACTAAATGTAGTGTAAATGCCATACAAACAGAAGTTTTAATTATATTTACCATCGCTTAGAATACGTCTGAAAAATTTGAACGAATCGACAGATATTAAGCAATTGGCGAAAGAGATAATAGATAAATGTAATCTCATTCCGACCGCAAAATACAATGAATTGACGNTTCCGACCGCAAAATACAATGAATTGACGACTTTATTGCAATATTTGCGAAATCGTAAAGACGTGTCCAGTAGTCGACCGCAAACTGCGTTTTCCGACAGAATGAAGACTATGTTAATCGATGGACAAGAATCTGAAGAGAAGGAGACCGAAGAGGCAATGATTGATAAACTCGATCAATACATTGAACTCCTATACGAAGAGCTGTCGGACAAAATCAAAGGTTCATTCCTTATTCTGAAGCTCTCGAAAAATAGCGAAAATCTAATTGAATTGACAACTAATGAAACTCTTATCTGCGCTTTGGCTCGAGTTCTTCGAGAGGATGGCAAGAAATCACTGGAATTAGCCATTAATATAACCTTTATATTCGCCTGTTTTTCAAACTACTCTCAATTTCATTCAACTATAAGTCAAGTGAGATATTTATTTCAATTGAAGTGAATGTAAATTCTTAATGAATTTTATTTGTCAATTATTTCAGTTCAAAGTCGGTTCCATTTGTTTTGATTTAGTTGAGTGTGAATTAGCCCGAGAGGACAGTTGGGTTCAAGAGCTCAATGAGAAGAGGGTCTTAGCCGACGGTCAATACAATTTGACGGCTCAATCAGACTTTGAGAAAAGTCTAAAACGATATCAATTATTAATACGAAAGCAAAATAATTTGCTTCGGATTGTGTTTTATTTGTTATTAAATTTATCGGAAGACAATAAAGTGGAGATTAAGATGATTAACAAAGGAATCATTGGGCTATTAGTGAAGACTTTGGAAAGAGATTCACAAGAATTGCTGTTAGTTGTCGTCACATTCCTTAAGAAAGTATCCGTTTATTTGGAAAACAAGAATCAAATGAAAGAATATTCAATAATCGAGAAATTAGCGCCAATTCTGTCACTAACTAATGAAAACCTGGTCTCAAATACACTAAAATTAATGCATAATCTGGTGTTTGACAACCAATTGAGAGTTGTGTTAATAAAGAGTGGACTCATCCCTAAACTCATCACTTTTCTCAGTAAAGACAGACACACGAAGACTGTGTTAAATATTTTATACCAAATCAGTCGCAATGATAAATGGAAAGCATTGTTTAGTTATTCGTGTGAATGTATTAATTTGATTGTTTCAAAAGTACTCAAACCGTATCCAAACACTTATTTCGAAATCAATTCTTTGGCTATTAATTTGGCGCTAAATCAACGAAACGCTCAATTAATGTGTGAAAATTCAAATCTCACTCAATTATGCGCTAAAGCTTTGGACACAAATGATTATCTCTTATTGAAATTATTACGAAATATCTCGTACCATGATGATCCGATTAAGATGTATTTTATCGATTATCACAAACAATTGGCTAAACTAATGGTTACAACAGATAATGAAGAGGTGGCCGTCGAGTGTTTAGCAATACTTTCAAACCTGAATTTAGTACAAATTGATTGGAATTCACTGTTTATTGAGAATAATATTTTTGAATGGATTGAACAGCGGATCAAAACCGGCAGCAATTGTGAAGACGATATTGTTCTTCAAATTGCGATTTTTATTGGAACCGCTGCTCAACAGAAGGAATGCGCTCTCTATCTAATCAATTGCCAAATAATTAAACTATTGATTGATTTATTGAACGGTAATTTCAAGTTTTCAGATATGCTTTAATTAAATGTTCATTAATTTGCTAATAATTTAATTTATTTTATATGAATTACAGCTAAACAAGAAGAGGACGAAATTGTAATTCAGATTATATACTCATTTTATGTGTTCATTAGACACACTGAAGCCAGAGATTTCATTGTCAAAGATTCTCGTAAGAAATCAAATTTAACTGTGATTTCAAACTAATCAAACAGAATATTATTTAAACGGCACAGAAGTGGCCGCTTATCTCATAGATCTGATGCACGACAGGAATAAGGAAATCAAAAGGATCTGTGACTCGACTCTCGACGTGATTGCAGTAATTATAGCATATTTTGATCCTATTTTGTGACAAACCGTTAAAACCAAGTCTTCGTATAGGAATACGACATACAGTGGGCGTCAAAGATAAAAGTGGAAAAGTTTTGCGCTCATAATAAACAGTGGCTCGAAATGATTGACTCCCAAAGTAACGATGGTTTCGATCCGTTTGGTAATGGATTTGAAGAATCTCTGGTATATCCGGAACTGCTTATCAAAACAGACTTATTGAATGACTCGAGTTCTGATAATCAATCGGAAGATCACTCCATTCATTTGTCAGTTCACGGAATGCCACTCTTGACTGAATCAATGGATGAGCCAAAGCCACAGCCGAGTCCTAAACCTAATGACTTGACTTCAAATGCGATGATAAGTAAAAGACCACAAACTGGTTATAAAAAGAGGTAATTATTAAAAGAATAGCCAATCAAAGAGACATATATGAGCCAAAGCCACAGCCGAGTCCTAAACCTAATGACTTGACTTCAAATGCGATGATAAGTAAAAGACCACAAACTGGTTATAAAAAGAGGTAATTATTAAAAGAATAGCCAATCAAAGAGACATATGATTAAAGCAAATGTTATTAAATTTCAGGACTTCGACGGCGACCACAAAAGTTGAGAATTGAAATAATTGATTAAATTTATTATTTTTTAAACGATGATTACATACAAAATATAATTTTACAAATGACTCGATTTATAAATTGATTACTATTTTTGATCTATAATTAAGATTTCTTGACTAAATATATGAATAAATATCTTCAAAAAAGAAGTTTTAATAAAAAACATTTTTAAATATTGTTATAAAATAAGTAAATACAGTAAAAACGTGTGACTTTTATAGATATTAGACAAAAGGATTCAAGTCTTTGGTCACTTGAAATTTTGACACAAAATAAGATAATAATTGAAAAATATTAAGTCGTTTATAGGGTTCGGTACGAAAGTATTTCCGTCTTTTCGTCGTATAATTTATTTTTGAAATTGAATCCAATGTCGACTGACATCGCATTTAAGCCCGAATTGATTGAGTATTTAAAGAGACCACTGATTCGGTCGTCTTTATAGATAGTTAACTGTTGTTCGGTGTCGAGGAAGAAGAGCGTCGGACGGAACAGATTGTTGGCCGCCGTAGGTCTGGTTGAATACATGCGCGGAACTGTTCGCCTC